AGGTAGAAAGATTCCTGCAACCCATACTGGCCCATACAAATTTATATATACACATATACAGAATGTGTGGTCCCAAAAGAATTATGGAAATGCACGTATAAACTATATAGGTATGTACTACATATATACGCATACAGTCTTATCCGCCCTTTATAGGTAGAAAGATTCCTGCAACCCAAACTGGCGCATATATATTTATATATTATATATGTATGTATATATATATACATATAAATATATATGTATATATATATATGGAACGTGTGATTCCAAAAGAATTATGGAAATTGACACATATATCAAGCATGTACTACATACACAGACCATGTTATCCGCTCTTCCTGCCAGCGCAGGCGTGAGTGGCGATGATGTGACCACCTATCTCCAGGGGGTTGTCTTTGATGCAAAGAAATCAGGCGGCGAAAAGAGTTGGACCCGAGTCAATTTCTCCCACTCGGACTATGGCAGCTTGCTTCCCCCCAGGAAAGGTTGCCGGATGCAGCGGTGGTGGCCAGCGGGCAGCGCTCCGCGCTACCAAGTTTGGTACCCCAAATCGGCAGGAGATGTTCATGGTTCCCATACTTTCCATGGCGAACAAGGCTTTGAGGAGGCCAAGACATGGGCCTGGACCCGCCACAACAAGTGGTTGCTCCTGAATTCAAAGGCAGAGGAGTGATCTGACAACATATAATAGTATAAACATGTGATTTCATCTATTTCCATAATTTTGTTTTCATCACGTATGGCCTTCGAAGAAAAAAACCTCTGCAGACAATGTCCATCAAATCCAATTGCATTGTGTATTGCCGATGATGGCCTTTGAGGTAGCGAAGAGTCTTTCCATGGACAGCATGCTCTTCCTCCGTAGGCACCTTTTCGTAGGCTTACATACATATATAATTCGGAATTGTGATTTGGGGCAGCTCCTTGGCTGGAGATATGTGTAAATTTATCCATAATATATAAATATATATATATATAATATGTGTGTGTATTTCAATACAGGTATCCAATGATCATCAACCTTGTCTTGCCTATCGGCACCTACTTTCAGCCACCCCAGGTCTTACTCTCAAGGGGAAAATTATAGAAACCATGTTGTCATGTTGGGCTGCCCCATGGGTGCATGGTCATCGCTGCCATTTGTGCAGACTTTCAGAAACTTACGTCCTGCGGGATTATGGGGAGAAAATTCTTGCGGCAGTCGCCCATCCCCTGTGAGAAGTCAGGGTTTTCAGTGCTCAGGGTTGGGCCTACAAGGCAACAAACTGAGGAAAGTGTTAAGGGGTACATGTGAAATTATTCCTCCACATGTCTATTTTGATCTCCCACTGATGCTACTGTAGCCATAATCATGCACTGTAGCCATGGCCAAAAGAATTATGGAAACATGTCAATAGAAAAGTTGTCACCCCTTTCAGGAAACAAATAATTATGGAAATGGTCATATGCCAAGAAACACCCTCACATGGAAAAAAATATATGGAAATTTAACTGCGGCACGTCACGCCCCTTCCAAAAAGGTTCAGATTACCAAATATTACGTAATCTTGATGTGTGCATTTTTATCAGTAAAAAAGAATTATGGAAAAATACGGCCCCGGCGCGCCGCAGTTGTTTGCTGGCCCATGCCGAACCTTTTTTCCATTTCCATAATTCTGTCGGTGACCATACATCTAAATCTGATAATCCTGGAATGTTATCCATAAAATCATCGGACTTACACTTTGATATCTTGATGGGCAATATTCCAGGCCAGTCTGGATCACCACAGGATAGGCTTATCCAAACATTTGGTGGTACTTGGCGGTGATGCTTTAGCCCTCAAACTGTTTTTGATGTCTCTCCATATGGCTCATCTCAGAAACGGCATGCAAAAAAGATGCAAAGATAAAGATGGCACATTCGTAATTATGTAGCTACTAGTATCTTCCGCAATCTTCCGCAATCTTCCGCCATCTTTGGCTAAAAATTCACAATCTTACCTTGTCCAAGTAGTTTTACTCCGTGCCCAGCTGATTTTCGGCCCTCCTTTGCAGCCGAAAAACGAACATATCCAGCCGCCAGGCCTGAAATGGGTAGATAGGTTTGACCCCTGGAACCCCCTGCTGCTCAGATCACAGAAATGAATGGAATATGTATATATATATATATACGTAATTATATAATTATGTACTTATTTATATATATATACATACACAGTATATACAGTATATGTATAATTAATATGACATAATATTGTATGAGATTGTCTGGTGTGTATTTCTTTGTTGTGTACTTTGTTTGTCACGTCCATTTCGTCTATGTTGTTATGTTCATTCGTCAATTTATTGGAATAGTCTACTTTAGGGTGACTTGAATTTACACTTTGTGTGGGGTGTTGAATCGCCTCACTTTTCTTGGTGCCTTGTTAGTTTTGACCCACATCCATATCACCAACGAGAGGAAGAGCGGCACCAGGTGGCGGAGGTTCTCTTCGGAAAGAGTTTGCCCTTCACAAGGATTAATAGTCGCAAGACTACAATATATTAGAATTGTGGGATTCAAAAAAAAACAAACAGTGTACCAGTTTTGCGAAACAAGATCCTATATAAAAATGGCAAAAATCTATGAACACATATGGCTTTGTCTGAAAATGTCTGAAAATGGGGACCCCCAAATCCTCGGGTTTCTGATAATTGTTGCTATGAAATTGCCATACTTTGGGGGTTAATCCCAGATATCCAGGCAAACAAGAATATCTACGAAAAACGGTATTTCAATATGTTTCAATGATTTTTCCACCTCCTGAGCGTTTCCCATCGTTTTCCTCTGGCCGCGCCTTCCTTTCTCACAAATCTCGCAGCACTCTGCGGTCGGTAAGTTTTCAAAGGTACAGGCAGGACAGGCCCAACAGTCCATGCACCGACCGGGATCAATTTTCAGGAAACCCCGCGGAGTTTTGGCGCGGGAAGCAAGGTGATGGGAAATGTAACCCACCTGCAAGTGGTTTGAAAATTTTTGAAGGCACTGAAATCTTAAAACAAAAACAATGTGTCGTTGATGCGAAGAAATGGAAACAGCGATGCAGCAAATGATTCCTCAACCACAAATACTTGATCGAATTGAATTGGGTTTCAACAGCGTAAGTGATAGATCAATGTTTTCCTCAGGACTGATGTCGCAAAACAACCAGGTGCAGTAAATCAGCTGCCAACATGACCTATCAAAAAGAATGCCGATTTCGCCTGTGGGACACATCCAAGAAAATATAGAATAGACATGAATAATCAATTATGTCTTTCAAGTCACTACGAAAAGAAAGAAACCGTTTTGGGATGCTTGAGGGATTTCATCGCCTCACATCTGCGACAAATGAAATTATTAACAAGTTGATCATCAAGCATACTGATTCTTGTTGGGCAAGCACCCTGTGCATTCCTGTGCAGCTTTTTTGCATTCTGTATGGAAAGATAGGGAATGGTGCCGCAGACTTCTCCATGCAACTTTCTTGGTTTTTGGCTTGAGCCGGTTTCGGCCAGGCAGCGGTCCGGAATGTTGACCGCTCACCATCCCCCGGGAACTCTGGCCTGCTCCAGTCCAGTCTTCGCTTGTGGATTAGGATCAAGTTGCAGTAACAACACATTATAACTTAGGAACACCTAGGAACACCTAGGAATACTTAGAAGAAAATTGCAGTAGACCATAGTACAATCATTAGTATAATCTATGATATCTATGATATTCATTAATATCATCTATGGTGAATACCTGGTGAATCATGGTGAATCATGGTATAATCTGGCTGAAGAATTCACCAACTTCAGCCGGGCCTTCAGGGTGCTGATCCAGGGCGGCGCAGCCGACCCTGCGCTAGCTTCGCAGCCGTTGTCTGTTAAGTGATGTGACTGTTATGGGATAAGTTCTGGGATAATACATGATAATACCACATTATAATGGGATTATGTGGTGAATTCATGTTAAGTTATGTTAAGTGATGTTAAGTTATAAGTTACAAGACTTCGGCCATGTTGTTGTTGTGCAATAGTTACCCCTATGAAAACCATGTTTAACCATCATGTACAGTGACGTTGCGAGGTGAGGTCGTGGGTTTTTACCACAATTTTCAGGATCGATGAACAGCATCTACTCTTTGGTAATGCAACATGGCAAGGGAAAATCCTACCGTTTCATGTTTCATTGGGAACAGCAAGCTATGGCTCGGGAACTCCAAAACAATTGTGGTGTTTCAGAGGCTCTTCTGACGTACATCTAGACAAAGCCATTTCATGTTTCTCCAAATTTAAGGTTCCCTCTTATCTTATCCATCACCAGTGGTTTCTGATCAAACATCCAGCTTTGGTTCGACACCACATAAACCACATAAACCACATACGTCATCACCACCCTAAGTGGTTTCATGATGACCCTTGGGTCCCTTTGGTTAGACACCACATAAACCACCCCCGTCACACGTCTGGTCTTCCCATAAAACGGCCATCCTTTTTCCACGTCCGCACCTGAGGGAGTCGGGGTGAGCCGTGTGATCCTACGACGTCTTTTTCTATTGGGACCTTCAACCAAAAAAAACAATTGTAATATGAATAGATGAATCATCCAATAATAATCCAATGATATTCCAATATGAATACATAATAGATGAATCATCCAATAATAATCGATGAATGATCCATGAATAAATGACTCTGAGATAAATATGAATGAATACATAATAATCTGGCTGAATTACCTGATTGACTAACCTGAAGATAGCTGAAATGTTGGGCTATTTGGGGATGATTCCTTGAATCCTAACCATCATTCCAGTGACGGAAAACGACGTGATGTCTAACATGTTTTTCTCCGATTGCTGGTACATCCTGTGCTCTAGATGTTCCGCATCTGGCTTTGAAACAAGTCTCATTCGCAAACCAGAAAATAATAATTAAATACAAACAGCATCAAACAGCTATAAATCATTTTGGAGGGATAATTCCCCCAAACCTCCCCCATGAAGCGAGGTCCCCACCTTGCTCAAGACACACTCGAGCCAGGCTTGTCTCAAGCACCCATTAACTCCTCAGACATCTCCTGCCGGGCCATCGATACTAGGATACAACCTAGACATTTCATGGGCACAAAGCCAACATCAAGAACTACAACGGGAATATCATAAGATAATATAATCTTAGATACCCAAATTTGGGATTTTTCAAAATGCCGGACCCCTTACTATTACCACTGATTTCCCGGTGAAAAGTTTCCCCCAATTTTAAGAAGCCCCCAGATGCTACAGTGACCAATCCCCCTGAGGAATGATCTGGGAGAATTTCTCATAGAAATGAGGGTTCAAGTATCAAACCATCAATACCATTCATCAGGTCTTACCAGCAAGAGGCGCTGTCACCTCAAGATACCGTGCAACAACAATTTTGTTTTGCCAGGTAGGTTGATACCCCTTCATCAAAATTGTAGAAAAAGAATCTATGAAGGTGCCCTTCACCACCAAAGATCATCCAGCCGCAAATGACAAATGCTGGTGCTTGCTTTCGGCCTCGGCCCCTCCACAAGTGGGGTATGGGGAATATGAACCAAACAAATTGGGTTTGAGTATCCCAAATATCCTCAGCTACCACTATATAGTCAGATTATATACATTTATAGGGTAGATCTATACATAATCTATTCCCCCACAATAACTCAAAGATTCAAAGTAAGCCTGTGAAAAACTAGCATGTGTAGATGCTGCCATGTTGGGTATGTTAAACCTCCATTTGTGGTCGGTGTCATTCGCTACCCCTCTGGTAATCAGATCTTGCAAAGAATGGCCCTTGTTATGTCTGTTTAGAATGGCCCTTGTGGCTATGAGGCAAAAGCTTGACAAATAGCTGGTAACTGGATGTTCATCCCCCAAAATGTATGTTACAGGTTTTGATGCCTCCCCATATGTGGCACGGTCAATGCATCGCATGTGGATGATGGTCATCCATCTCATGATAGGGGATCCAATGGGGATCCAAACATAATGGCTACATGAATCACTTGGCAGTGCAGTTCCAGTTGTGTATGTATATGTATATATTGTATATATGTATACATGTATATATGTATGCATGTATGTACAAGGCCATGTACATATACATGTACATATACATATACATATACATATATATATACATATATATATATATATACATATATATATACGTGTGTGTATAGTCTGTATAGTAACTAATAGTTATAGGCGCTAATCCCAACTTTTGGGGGTGGAAATTCCCATGTGTCTAGCCATAAAAAGCCACCTTTGGCCTGCACCCCGTCCAACTTGGAGGATCATCCCACTTAGTAAGTGGTGAAAAAACCTTGGTTAGCAAGTCCCCATTTCGTGGATTCTCCCATTTATAAAGGGCTGATAAGCCTAGTCACTACCCTCTGGTAAACTAACATAACTATGGAAAATCACCATTTTTAATGGTAAAATCCACTATAAATGGCCATTTTCAATAGCTATGTTAAATTACCAGAGGGTAGCCACTTGCTAAGTGGGATGATCCAAGTAGTAGGGATGGCCATCCCCCCAAGAACTGGTCCAGTCGCTGTCGTGGTGGTTCACCAGGCGTTCCTCACAGCTGGCCGCCACAGCCGCCCAGTTCAGCTTCCACAGCAGCCTGGTACTAAAAGATCTTGGGATGGGATGCGCCTGTTAAAGGGATGGGTAACATAGCTATTATATATATATATACTTGATTAATGCTATTAGTAACATGTCGTGCCTAAATACCTGGAAATTTTGGTATGGAACATGGCCCATCTACTGACGATTTACTAGTTAAAAATGGTGATTTTCGATAGCTATGTTCACCGGAGGCTGCTACCCCTGCTTAAGAACTGACTCCAAGTTCTGTTGCAATTGAGTTGACTGACCATAGGCCACTTTCGAACTGGGATGCACATTTGATGCACATCCAAGTTGTAAATCCATGGTGCTGAAGTCGTTCCCAAGGGAAAAACCCCAAGAAATGTCCCCTTTGCCGTTCGGCCTGGCATAGAAAATCAGCTGCACCAGCGGCCCCACCAGCATCCCCAGCCAGAGCCCAATGGCGTTCAAACCACCAAAGCCCAGAGCCAACGCAGAGGGGATGCCCAGGATCCAATAGGCCAAGACCTGGAAAATCCATGGGAAAAACCGGAAAATTGCGAAGAATTGGGAGATTTTAAGGGACTTAGTTCGAAGTTCTTCACCAATTCATGAAACATCATACAAATATCATGAAATATCAGCTGAAGTAAGTCGGTTGTATATCTGAGAAACAAGTGGCTTAATAAGTACGGTTGGTGCACCTATAACTGGAGTTAGAACCTACTTGCCAAGTACTGGGTCATTCATTTCAAAGCCCCTACTACTGTTGCTGTGTTGCGGATCATGATCAAGTACCCAACCAATGTGTCGTTATAATATGATATAATATGTTACAATTAGTCACGCAGCCAAAAATGAAACCGTTAAGCAGATTCCTTTAAAAGAACTTCACCATCAAACATCATCAAACTACCTGCAACACCAACGTTTTCCCAGTATCCTGTGGGAAATATAGATCCCCCCAGCTCCAAACCTCTCCCTCGCTGGATCGTTATCCTTTGGTAATTTAACATGGTTAGCTTTAAACAATCCCAACTCTTAATGGAAAAATATCGGAAGATCAACTCACCGCAACTCACAGCAACCTTTCACGCCGAGCTGCACAAATCCGTGCGCCCTTCTGCTGTTGTCCCGTGCCGCGGACAGCGCCTGAGAGGGCAGTTTGTAGCCCATCGATGTAGTAGAAGCCACCTGAAAGGATGAACCACGACGACTGGATGTCCCAAGGATATCCCAAGGGAATATATGTATAACGTGTAATATAATATATATATATAAGGTGTATATATATATATAAAGTATATATGTATATATGTCAATTGTATATATATATATATACATATCATCATATAATCATTAATTTGATCTATGCACTGAAATTTGTACATATATGTATGTTATCACTGTGAGAAAAATAAAGGGATGCGTCAACGGCTGGCAAACTGGGGGGATGAACATCCATTTGCCAGCTGATCCACCTGCTTTTGATGTGAAGTACAGGGAGTGCATCATGCCATAGGTAGGAAAGGAAATCCAACATGTCCAAAACCACCGGAAAAGTGTTGGAAATAGCTGCTCAAAAAGTTGTAACCCAAAACAACGCCCAAAAAAAACACCAGGCAGTAGTCCTCAGAACTTTTGGTTCCCAGGCGCATACAAAGATGACGAAAATCGCCTCCAGCCCCTGCTGTACCCGTGGGTCCAGCGAATCCACACGGAGGAGTTGCTCCAGAAACTGCTTGCAGACAGGGAGCACAAAAACCTCTGCAGCCAACACGCATTCAAAAACGTGGTGGATATGTTCTGGGGCAAATTATACATCATAATCCTTTTTAAGCGTATATTATATTCATTGTATTTTTATGTATATATATAGGTATATATATAGATATAAACATTATAATTCTGAAACTGGATAAAGAATTATTGGCATAATCTACCCCGTGTAACCGTGACATATTGATTATTTACTTGCATACATCAAGGGGACATACTGGGCCTATGATGATACAGTGGTCATGGTTCAACACGCTGGGAGACCAAGTGGATATGCAGAAGCCCTGGTTTGTACTGCAAATTTCCATACATGTTGCCTTAAAATTTCCAGGTGTGCATGCCAAAAAAATCTCTGCAAAATGCATGGTTCACATTCATGATCTTTGTGTGAGTTTGTCTGAAAATATTTGGTACCACAAAACTTGATGCTTAATCATAATGTTCCCTCTTCAACAGGTCATTTTGAGGGGTATCCCGGTAATTATCCCCTACTCATTTCATCTAATTTCAGCAAACCCACATGATTCACTCAGCGATTTCCCATCCCCACCATGGACACCGCCGTAGCCGTGGGCAGCGCCAACAACACCGCCACCCGCATTGCGCGCTTGGCGTTCTTCACCGCGCCCCGACCGATGGCGTTGCCCACACGGGTGTCCGCACAGACCGAGAGGGCCGGAAAGAGGCTGAAGAAACAGCCGTAGGCGTTCAGAGACAAACTCATGATGTCCACCTCAGTGGTTAACAATGGTGAATTAAACCATCAATATTAATATGATTTAATATTACACATTAATCTAACTGGGGTTTCTCCATTTGTGTAATATTCCACAAGTTGTTTACTCACCTGAATCATGCTAGCCGCAAAGTCATACCTTGAAAAAACAATGGGTTGCTTCAGGGCAAGATTCCCATGATGGGTGATATCCTCACAAACCTGGCGTTTCCGGAATACCCTCTGGTAATGAAAAAAATCCATGACTAACTGGGAAATCCCCTATACATTGAAGGATTTTCCATTGCCATGATTGCGGGACGGTAATGTCAAATGACCTTCATCATTCAAATAAACATCATGATCTGCAAGTGTCGCAGATCATTTGAGATGGTTCTTCTTCTATGTAGCAAAAACAATACCCAAGCCCAACACACATGGGAAGAATACGTATATCATTGGTCATTGATATACATTGATATCGAGTCAAAGGCCGATGTTCGGATATGTTTGTATACAATTGTTGGATACCTTACTTGCCATCTTCGGATGGACAAAATTTCTGGAGAGGTTTGATGTCTGACTCATGAGGTCCCCTTATCGCTGCTGTAGTTTGGGATGCGGATGGTTGGGGAAAGGTGCAACAAATTTCACCCAAAGCAGATGTCATCCAATACAAGTGGTATAAGTGACGCATCAAAATTTGGGACCCCCAAATCATTATGGTTAACCATCATGTTTCCCAATGAAACTAGCCATACAGTGGGGATCATTCGGATATCTATCCTGGTTTTGCATTCCCGTTGGTGGCAAAATCCCCGTGCTGAACATTTGTTGCTTCACCATCCCCCAACTGTGTCACGCTTACCCCGAGCATCCCAAACGTAACGTCACCCCAATTATCCCCATCAAATCATCCATTGCTTATCATTCTGATTCAACCAATATAAAAACCGCTTGAAAAAATGAAGACCTAAAAATCATCCAGATCCCAAAGTTGTGATGGTTGCATTCCCACTATTCTATCCCATGTTGTGCTTGGTTTTCAACCCCAATCTGATGCCCCGCACCTCCACCTTGGCCAGGGGCAGCAGGGCACTGGCCGTCACCACGCCCGAAAACCCGGCGGACTCCAACATGCGCATGGCCGCTGAGGGGTACGCCAGCGCCGCCAGGGCGCGCCAGCCGCAACCCGCTTGTTGGATGGCGCTAGGAGTGGACCTGCGCCATGAAAAGTGAACCAAATTGGGGTTCCCCCATAGGGTCCCAAAAATCCAAAGCTGCATCATCATTTTCCCATTAAGATAACCAGTTGAGGGAGGTGTACCCCATTTTTAGGCGCACCCAAATATTATCGACATTGCTGGTTACATATATATATAATGTACTATATATATATAATGCTATATTGTATTATATTTTATTATGATATAATATATTATATTATATTATACTATATTATAGAATATTACATTATATCGTACTGAATCATATTATATATTATATTATTTTATATTATATTATGTTATATTATATTATATATAATATTATATTATATTATATATTATATTATATATTATATTATATTATATATTATATTATATTATATTATATTATATATTATATATTATATTATATATTATATTATATATTATATTATATATTATATTATGTTATATTATGTTATATTATATTTTATTAATTATTATATTATGTTATATTAATTATTATATATATTATGTTATATTATACAATATTATATTATATTATCTTTTATTATTATATTATATTATATTATTATATTATATTATATCATATCATATCATATTATATTATATTATATTATATATATATATATATCATTGTATATATAACATTATGTATATATATATCATTATGTGTATATATATATATATATATATCATTGTATGTATATATCATTACATATATATATATACAGTATATCATTATATATATATTATATTATATATATATTATATTATATATATCATTATAATATATATATATATATACATATATTATGTTATTATATATCCCCTGCATACCCCAATGATATCTCCATTCTGGCTGGTTTTATACCCCAATGATCCCAATTTTCCAAGTTTGGCACCTGCCGCCCCAAATGGTGCGATTGGCGCCCACCAGGCACACCGCCAATGCGCCCAGTAGCAGGGTGACCAGGCCGCTACAGGAAGTGGCACAGGCGGCACCCAGGAAACCCAGACGCGACACGAAGAAACGACAGAAGAAGTAGTGACACAGGAGCACCAGAAAGGACCTTGGTTGAAACATGGGGTGCTTGGTATTGGTATTAATTGATTGCTTGATGTATGAGGGTGATGTACTAAGGCTTACTAAGGGAGAAGAGGTATACATATCAGGCAGATAGGTAGATAGATAGATAATGATAGATTAATAGATAGATAGATAGATAGATAGATAGATAGATAAATAGATAGATAGATAGATAGATAAGATTAGATAAGATTAGATAAGATTAGATAAGATTAGATAAGATTAGATCAGATTAGATAAGATTAGATAAGATTAGATAAGATTAGATAAGATTAGATAAGATTAGATAAGATTAGATAAGATTAGATAAGATTAGATAAGATTAGATAAATAAGATAAATAAGATAAATAAGATAAATAAGATAAATAAGATAAATAAGATAAATAAGATAAATAAGATAAATAAGATAGATAGATAGATAGATAGATCAGATAGATCAGATAGATCAGATAGATCAGATAGATCAGATAGATCAGATAGATCAGATAGATCAGATAGATCAGATAGATAGATAGATAGATAGATAGATAGATAGATTAGATCGATGGATCGATGGATCGATGGATAGATAGATAGATAGATAGATAGATAGATAGATAGATAGATAGATAGGTAGGTAGGTAGATAGATAGATAGATACATACATAATGATACATACGGTAGATATATAGATAGATCTGGAATATACATACCCTGAGATAAGGCCCAAGCTGGAAAATCACATCAACAAAATGGATCATAGCTTGGAATGGTTCTCGACCAACAAACATGTCTCAAGAAAAACAGAAGTCTGTGTTGAGGGATTACACAGCAAAAGGAAATGTACTGAAACCAACAAAAACCTCAACACCCTGCTAAAGACCATGTTTCCCATCCAAAAAAGTCACCACGCAGAAATCACCAAAAATTCACCCAGCTTCAGTTTTCATACCAAGAAACACCACCATAAAGGGGCAGGTGATCCTCTGCGAAGCAAGTACCCGATTCATGGGCCGCCACAAACATTGCGCCGCCAGGTCAGGTAAGAGCAGCAGCAGGAAGCGCGCAGCGTTCCGTGCCACGCTGGGGTCGGTCAAATGCGGCAACCACAGCAACGCGGAGAAACTAAAAAGGCCGAAGGGCAGGAGATGTAGCCTGGGCCACAGGAAGAGCTTTTGAAGTTAGGTTTTTCTGCACAGTCTCACCCATCCAACTTGCAGAAATATTGTGAAATTAAACTAGTAAACTAAACGACCTAATTACAACCCAACTTACTTGTTGGGCCCAGATCTCAAAATTTATTGGTGTTCCATGGTGAATTTCTTAGACTGTGTTGGTTTCAATTCCATCCTTCCCACAAGGTTCAGCTCCCAGTTCGGACTGCCTAAACTCCATTTTGTCTTGTTTCATTTGCAATTTTCATGCTTCAACACGTCAACCCCCATGTATCTTTCAAAAAAACTAGTTTCCTTCCAACTGACATGTGCTCCGCTCTGGGACCCTCACCTGCACCCTCCTCCCTTCCCAACCCAAGGGGCAGGAGGAAGAGACAGGAGCGCCGAAAGATCGGCCCTAGCAGCTCCAGCCGTCCTGCGCCTGCAGCCTGGGAGGAGATGGTGTCCACTGCACCACAGAGACCCATGATGAGGTTCCGGCCTAGCAACGGCATCGTGGGGGACCTGATCCAGCGGTTTAGAAGTTTAGAACCTTATTTTCCCACTTGTTTGATGGAAATTGCGGGCATACCCGATTTTCAGACACATCCATGTGTGCCCTGAGTGCATGATGCCCAACCTTTGGGAGGATGCTGTGGACATAGCAACAAATCATGAGGAAGAAGACTAGGAGTGGGAGTTTGAACGTCAACAAAACAGTTGGTTGCAGTATCATGTTTTATCGTTGAATTTCTTACATTCATCGTTTGTAATGGTTGTATTTGTATGTGTTTTTTTTGCATTGCCACGTTTTTTGATCCCAAAATTTTAGTATAGGAACTTTCTAGCACCATGGACAAATGTTGTTCAGAATTACAGATGGTCAACCGAATTTTGCACGCCACTTAAAATAATCCCCTTCCCCTAATTATCTTAAGCCCCCCACATGCGCGCCAATAAGTCAAAGTAAACCTAATAATAAACCATCCCCAAAATCACCATAAATCGGTGGTAAAGACTATTCCCAAATGGGGCCGCCGCTCCCATGGACCCACCCAGCCACCCAGGCAGGTGTAGAGCGCCATCGCCAGCCCGACCGCCGCCACCGCCGAAGTGCCCTCGGAGCCCACCACGTGCAGCGTGACAAAGGTCACGGCGTAGTTGATCAGGTTGCCTGGCATCGGAAGATCAGTGGGGATTAACGTTTCTGCAAGTATCCAGATACATGTCTGGTACATAGCATGCATTCAAACCCTGTTTTCCAATTTAGCTTGAGTAACATTCTCAATCTGCTGCGATTCTGTAGCTACCTTTTTTCTGTCTCAAGACTCAACCTGGCTGTGACTCCAGCCATACGTGCGGCCAAAAGCGAAGCTGCGCTGCGTTGATTCTTGGAGGTGCAGAACTTGAAGGTGAAGATCGGTGGGTGGTGGACGTAACCTAGGGCTAACCTTTCCAGTTTCAACCACCAAAAAACATGAACATTATGGGAAAAAATTGGAAATAAGAAAGAAGGATGAATTTAGAGTCTTTAGAAGGCATTTTAGATGATTGCCTGGCATGTGGGAAAAAATACCCGGGATTGGCCAACTATAATAATGGTTTAACCACCAAGAATACTTATATATCCGCCGACCCCGGCCGCCAGGGGGAGCGCGCTACGGAACAAGAATCCCCCATCCCAACTACAATGCAACAGCAACAGTCGCAACAGTAGCCACAACCACAACAACAACAACAACAACAAGAAGAAGAACAAGAACAAGAACAACAAGAACAACTTTCGCAAGAAGAATCTGCCCTCGTTTGCACGCAATCTTCCTCATTCCTTGCCTTCATTGCCAACGTTTGCGACAGATGCTCTCAACACATTCATCCACAACCTTCAAGCACTTCAATTGCAGCAAGTGCTGAGACAGAGGGGCACGAAGATCCGCTGCTTGCTCGTGAAATAATTGGCCCGGTTAAGCTTTGGATCAGAAAGGATTGCTGCTTGGATTCAAAGCCCGATGCCTGTTCACTTCATTTGTTTATTTAGACATACATTTCGGCTCAACCTGCCTGCAGGATGTTTGAGGTGATGTTGATGGATCATGTGGGTTGAAATTCAGCACACTCTCATGTGTAGTGTGCCAGGAACGGCATTAAAGGACAGGAGTAGGTGAGGTGTGTCAATTGAAATTTTGTGTAATTCTAATAAATGGTTCCACCGAACGCGCGCCAAAGTCAATACCCTATCACTGGATGAAATGGACACATGATAAGAATTATAGCCAATAAGTGTTCAAAGGTCTCATGTGGCCAAAAGAAAGTCTACAAACACGTCGGATTTTTCAAACTGCACCCTCAAAACAAACGTCGAGAGCACAGTGACCGCAAATTCTGATTCCAGACCGCGCGCGAACTTTAATAGCTGGAGTCAATATACAGTTTACACCACCCCATTTATGGTAAAATTGAGTGGTGGTTTATTATTGCTTTACTTAATGTCAACCCTGGATTAATGAACTCCTAGGCTGTTGAATTGGGGGGTGTGCATGTAAGTATCATATTCTCACTATTGGGGGGTGCCCCCCTAAGACACCCAATTTCTACTCCCCAACTTCCACCTTTCTAGTCCGGGCCTGAAGCCAAAGGCAGCATCATTCGCAGCTGTGCAGCCGCCTCCCGCAAGGCTGGACCGAACCTTAGCTGGACACCGCCGGGCACCACCAGGTCTCCACTGATTTCATGGGACTCAATGACTCAATGGCGCTAAAAAACGTGGGGCTTTCACAAACAAAAATTGGGTGTTCCACGGTCCATTTATAGGTGTAGCTATATAACAATAGTAATTTTCCATGGCGGTGGCTGGGAAATCCCCAGACGAGAATCATCTACTATGGTGGCAGATTTTCCATTGGATGGTATGGATTATTTTTTATATCTGATCTGTTGGGGTCAGATACTTCACCTTCTGGGGCGATATTTAATCCCATATTTTTTCCAATACTTCGCTAGTTGGGAGAACTTCACAAATGTGAAGGTCTCATGAAAACGCACATGACAAAAACATGACAAACACAGGGATTAAATCTCTGGAGATTCCAGGGTGCCCCAAGCAGTTTCTGCTTACCTTTCGACCCTTGCGGCGTCATGACCCAGGACCGAGCCACCCATGGCCCGAAGCCTCCTCAATGTCCAAGTCCAGGGAGGCCACCATGGATGTTTTTTTGAATCGAATGGGGATATACTGGGGAAGCTTCTATGAATGTTCTACGATGTTCTATGGTGTTCTATGATGTTCTATGATGTTCTATGGTGTTCTATGATGTTCTATGATGTTCTATGATGTTCTATGATGTTCTATGGTGTTCTATGATGTTCTATGATGTTCTATGATGTTCTATGATGTTCTATGGTGTTCTATGATGTTCTATGATGTTCTATGATGTTCTATGATGTTCTATGATGTTCTATGGTGTTCTATGATGTTCTATGATGTTCTATGATGTTCTATGATGTTCTATGGTGTTCTATGATGTTCTATGATGTTCTATGATGTTCTATGGTGTTCTATGATGTTCTACGATGTTCTATGGTGTTCTATGATGTTCTATGATGTTCTATGATGTTCTACGATGTTCTATGGTGTTCTATGATGTTCTATGATGTTCTATGGTGTTCTATGATGTTCTATGGTGTTCTATGATGTTCTATGATGTTCTATGATGTTCTATGGTGTTCTATGATGTTCTATGATGTTCTATGATGTTCTATGGTGTTCTATGATGTTCTACGATGTTCTATGGTGTTCTATGATGTTCTATGATGTTCTATGATGTTCTACGATGTTCTATGGTGTTCTATGATGTTCTATGATGTTCTATGGTGTTCTATGATGTTCTATGGTGTTCTATGATGTTCTATGATGTTCTATGATGTTCTATGGTGTTCTATGATGTTCTATGATGTTCTATGATGTTCTATGATGTTCTATGATGTTCTATGTTATTCCCACGAAATATCGTGAATTGAATTTCGTGCTGTGATATCTGCGATAATGTTTTTGTGCGGGTGGAATTTTGGTGGCCAAACAGGGGGTCCGCAGTCAGTGGCTGCGAAAGGCCGAATAAACTGTGGGTCAAAATCCTGGAGCGTTAACAAGATGTTCATTTTTGATTGACTGGAACTTAAATCACTGGACCTTTAAAACTTCAATGGATTTTGAATGATTCTCTCAACATCCACCTGTCCCGGAAAATCATTCTGATGTGTCAATCCGGCCCTATATGGCGGCTACTTGGCTAGGATGCAAAGGCAGCTGCGGTTCCAAAGAGTTTTCAGTAGAAAACCTTGGTTTTTTGGGGCGATGTTAAGTGCCATTTTAGTGATGTTTAGAACTACAATTAAAAAAATGGAAAGATCTAAGATATCTAAGGACCCATGAAAAAGGTGACTTGGCCAAGCAAAAGATCGAAACATAACTCACTGGAACTTAAAATTATCGGGGCTCCAAAAAATTCTTCAGCATCTTTTGGATCTCAGCAATCAACACAACTAAAGATGCAACAGTCGCACGCATCTAGAAATCTATATCCACCCTAAATCCAACAGTGAGCCCACTTAGTTCAACCAGCTCTATGCGTTGGTGACTTCAGCCAATTTCATCCCATGAATCCCATGGCTATGGATGATTCCCTCACTCCAATTCCCATCATGCCGTCGTGACCTCACGGCTGTCATGATCAAATTCAAAAATAGTTCACGTAGCGAACTGGAAAACCATCTTTTTTTGTAGGTAATTCCTCATGTTTATACATGGGTCATGGTTTCCATAGCTATGTCGCAGCCGGTTCCCACAATCGCCTTCAGCCTCCCGTCGGCGTTTGGGCTCTGGTCCCTCAGCCGCCTCACCAGGACTGGAAGGCCATAGCTCATATTGGCGCTAGGGACGTTAGGGGGATGGGATTAGCAAAATGAGAAGTTCACATGACTTCACCTGAGTTCAGCAAAGTTCAACAATAAATATGAGGATGTACTCAAAACAATCAGCACTCAACGTGTTTGAAGCAGAAAAGAACGAGAACTGTATGAAGGGGAATATCTGCAGGGAAAACCTGATAATGATCATATAACCTGCACCCTCGTTGGGTACACACAAAAATGAAAATGTGCCACGTTTTTCCTCCCCGGCAAGATGAATAATTCCGCATGATATACATGCAAATTGCTACTCATATGAGTACATATGGAAGAGACTAAGCCTATGTGGTTTAAAAGATATGATATGGACAAACATGTTTGAAATAGGTCCCAAAAAAAAATGTGCTCGTTTAGATTTGCAACATAGAAATGTGTTCATTTACATTTTTTGCGTACCAAAACTCCGTTCGAGCAAGTTTTCTTGTACCATGAGGTGCTTCAGGAAGCGTAAACACGTGTAAAGACCACAGTTTCCTGGAAATGTTCCCTTAAACCAATGAAAAAAAGATGTCGCCTAAGAAATACAGGGATCCATCATGATGTGGTTGGGAAACTCCTGGTAGCTCCTTGGCTTCCCATTGAATCAGTCCTGGGATACCTCCCTTCACCGCTACCCCTGGAGACGATCATGCCCCGGCCCGGCACCTGAGTCTCCAAGTAGCGCCTTGCGGGGCAAGAAGGGACAAAAAATGTGATTCGAGTGCAAAACTTATGGCTGAATAGTATCAGAAATGTGATTTGATTTGAAAACCCAAGAATCCAAGTTTAGAATCTCAGGGACTGTAGATGTTCTGAATGGTTGGGGCCAGGTTTGCTTGCAACCATCCCATTTTCGGGGGTACCCAAGTTTGACCCTTGAAGACCATACAACGAGCTCGGCCAAACATGTCGCACCATTCCTGGCACCATTCCTGGCACCAAACATCATCAACCACCAATCTGGGTCGAACTATGACCATAATATGTGGCTATTTAATATATGACAATATCTATGTATATGTATATACTATAATGTCCATTCATATCCTATAACGAAAAGCGAGCTACTTCGAAATGGGTCCATACAGTATGGTTCCCCTTGTGGATGGCGATCCAAGGCCCCTGACCAAAAATATGGGCATGTCATTGATGTCATATCTCAAAAAAATGGACAACTCCAGCCGGATAAAATCGGAAAACCATGGAAAATCGTCGGTGGTTTTCAAGATGTCGCGACCATGGAATACAACGTATGAGTCCCTCTGATACCATGTCGCATCCATCGCCAAATCCCACAAAAAATCATTACGCACGGCTTGGTGGTTTCCAAAGCAGCTTCGCCTGGCAGACAGGGTGGCGACCTGGCGATCGGATTGAAATCGGAAAATGGGATGAATCTATTGGAATCTAATCTTCCCTACTTTTTAAGATTCAACATGATTCAGCTATATGTCTTTTTTCGGAACCATTCAATCAACATCCTTCAACTCTGCGTGTCTTTTTCGGAGACAGCGAAAAGGGGCCCTGAGAACCATCAAAGGTTCTCAAGGGATTCCCCGATCCCTCCAGGAAAAAAAAAGGGATGGATGTCTGTCGGTCTGTCCGTCTGTCTATGTGTATGTATATGTGTATGTAATGTAATGTAATGTAATGGTTGTATATGATTGTATATAATAAATATAATATGATGTGTATATATATACACATATGTAAGAATATGGTGGTGGATCAAAGGCAATTTATACCACATTTCCGCGGTATGAACATCAGCTATATCAGCTATCTTGGTGTTCACCAGTGTACTTGGGTCTTGACTCATACCCATATATTCTGTTCTAATCTCCAACAAATTAACCTCTAACCTCTACACATCATATATCTTTCACCAGCCACTTTGCCCCGCGGACCGGTTTATCGCCCCACCATGATCCCTACTTGGATGGGCATCCAACTTTTTAGGTAACCATATTATATTGTTGTGAAGGGAGAGTTTGGCCAACCTCTTTTTAAACATCAGATAGTTAGTAACCACTGACCCAACGGTTCCCTAGCACCTCACAAGTACGTTGAATATCTCCAGTGATATGGAGGTTTCCTCAAATGGGGCTATCCCGAGATCCATGTTATGAACTCGGATTTTCCGTGAAATGAGCCATCCAGCTATTGGGTCATAGAAACCCGGGTCGGTCACCTCCTTTGGCGTCTTACCACAGCTGGTCTTGGCATTCCTCGGCTTATCTCGGCTTCCAAGCCCGAAATGTCATTCCATTTACCACCAACAGTAAAATCTGGTTGGTGGTTTTAACCATCTTGAAAAATATTAGTCGATGGGAAGGATTATCCCATTATATTATGGAAAATGAAAAATGTTTGAAACCACCAATAAGAATATATATATATATATATGGAAAATTGGGATCTAAAGCCAACCATAAGTAGGTGATTTTTCTGGTGATCATGGGAAATTCATGGACCTTCCGGCAGCCACGTGGCTTGATGCGGGGTCCTGGTTGAGAACATCCAGATCTTGGATGATGACTAGTTTCGAGGTTTGTTAACCTACCCTCTGGTTATGTCAAAATAGCTATTGAAAATGGCCATTTATAGTGGATTTTCCCATTAAAAATGGTGATTTTCCATAGTTATGTTAGTTTACCAGAGGGTACCCTTTGTTGGAATGTTCTGACCTAAATTCCGGAGGCTCAAACATCACTGGCTTTTCTTGAGCCAAATGCATCCAGTTTTCCCTCGCTTCTGTTGGTGTTTCTCCCATTATTTGACATGTTGAAACCCTCAACTACTTGGGTGCACCAGTGCACCCCACAATATCCCAAATACCGCAATCTCCAATTCGCAATAGTGTGAGTCAAGGTCGGACAAAGCTTTCAGGAAAGCTCAAATAACTCACTTTGATCTTCTCCAAATCCATCCAGATCCCTCTATATGTTTTTTCAACTTTATCCATGCTTCAATCCTAATAAATACTTGCAGTTTCAGTTTAAACAGGTGCCAGTCCCAGCCAAAAAACCATCCAAGCCTAAAAACAATCCCGAGACGCACATCTGCCCTGCACTCCAGCAGATACTTCACCACCTCCTCCTCACCTGGTGGCGAGGTGTCTGAGGAGAGCACGGCCGTGTGAACAACCGGAAAATGACAGGTTTCATGGTGGGAAAAATGACATATGACAATGTTTCATGGGGAACATCATGATTCACCATCGATTTTGCAGTTTTTTTTATTGCC